AACGCGGGTGACGCAGAGGGCACTGCGTACAGCAGCACCACGTCTCACGCCGCCTCCCAGCACTCCGCTCTCCACCCAGTTATTCAGGCCAGATGCATATTACGGTGACGTAAGCTGGTTCCACCGGGACGACACTGGGGACACGCTTCCGAGAAGCACGCGTTGGGATCGTCCGTACACAGCCGTAAATCTCGCCCTTCAGCCCAACGCTCTGATCCATCGCGGGCCGCTTGGGAGAAGCGCTCTGAGAACTAGAAATGGAGGAATGAAAGATTTACGGTGCCAGTAAGAGAAAGGGAGCCCCCCCCCCACAGATAAACACAGCGGGCTGGAAGGCGGGCAGGAGGGCGGGCAGGAAACCAGCACACAGAGTCATGCCCGCAGCAACACGCATCGTCCTCAAGCCTGTCACATTCTCATTTCATATTCGCTTCTATATTAATTTCGACGATTTAGGTCAGGAGGCAACGGGCGGGGAGGCGAGATCTCGAGCTTCTGGGGCATGCAAAGCTGCAGGGACTTACGGAATGTGCCGAACCTTACCGAGCCACTCGACACCTATGCTGCCCGCGCCGGTGTTCATCACAACTCGAATCCTGCATTGCGTGCACCCCTGAGGTTTGTTAGCCACGGTCAGTAACTGCACTAAATATTAAGTAACATGTTCTGCTAACCAGATATAGCTAGCGACAATCTGACTTCACTCACTAGTTATTCATTTAGTTTTTGAAACATCTGGGGGGTGGGGCAGGGGGTGCTGAACTTTCTTTTTTTACTGGGGCAATTAATCCACCCTTGTACCTACCAAAAATGCTGAGTAACCCGCTGCAACTGTAACTCCTACAGATCTGATTCTGATCGATGGAGAGAAGGTTGGGTCACAAACCCTGGACCACCTCAGAGAGCTTGATGCAGTAACATCAGCGAGCACCAGTTCTAGAACGCTACCCTGAGGCCGGGGGCGAACAGAAACACGCCTCTTTCTCTGTCACTACCACCACAAACATTGACATTTTACCCAGTTTTAAATTCTGTCATATCCCTTAAGGTAAGGTCAAGCAAACCAGCAGACAAAATCATACGACGACATGAAGATTGTCCCATTTTAAGCAATTAAATCTGACAAGTGTGATTGTAAACAGAGTAATAACCATCCATCCATTTTACACAATCCCTGATTCAGTTGCGGCATTTTTTTTTACAGGAGACGACAGGAATCGACCCACCCATCCAACGCCACCTATGTCTTCCATGGTGTGAGGCTTATATACGTCACACGTTCTCCTCATCGCACCCAGCCAGGCGGGTGTCCCCAGGTCTGTCTAGAACTTCATTGGTGAGATGAGTCAGGAATTGCAATTCTAAATCGGGAGCCGATGAAGACGCAGAAATTCTCAGGTCAGGCGTCGGTGCCCTTGGTGAGAGCTGGCATGGATCTCCCTGCATCCTGCCCATGGCTTTATGGCCGGCTTGAAAACAGCAGCGCTGTCAGTCAGGTCAGAATTTCATAGCACTAAAGCAAAAGGCTCCTTTCAGATGCAGAGGGATTCAGAAATCTGCAGGAATGAGGTTACACTATGTCACTATACAGTACAATGACGATCATTCAAAGGGGCAGTGTGTGGATTAGGCCTTTGTGACTGATCAGAAAGTTGCAGCTTCAAATTCTATCCTCGCCAGAGTCTCCACTGGGCACCAGGGCTGACCCTGCACTCAGACCCCCAGCTTCTCTCTCCTCTCTTTATATGTGTGTCTGTGTGTGTGTGTGTGTGTGTGTCTTAAAAAAGCAGAGTGAGAGGGGATATATGAAAAATGAAAGAATTCCTATGCACTAGTACAAATAGCAAATAAAATGTTTTCATTCAATAGTTTTTGCAGGCATGTTGCACAATTCTTATGTCAGAACAGAGAGACTGTTCCCACCTCAGACTGACAGCAAAGCTACTTCACGTTCTGCCAGAACAACAGCTCGTGTGACACACGCACAGCACCTCAGTGCACAAACTTTGACGCCATGTCATCCCCTGCGTGACACAGTGAGGAAGCTCAGTGGTTCTGCTGCCATCCCATCACATCGGGCCTCTCGGGTCTCGTAGACTCAGTCACCCTGGAACCCGACTTCATAAGTTCCAAACTCCCCTCTGCCCTGGTTACCCCCTGCAAGCCTTAACCACCTCCCCATACCAACAGATCTGACTGTCTTTCATGCCGATGACCAATGATCGCTTCCTGGGCCGCACACGCCCTGCCGCACTGTTGGCAGTCACAGTCACCGTCACCTCCACCGTTCCCGCCCCACCAACGTGATCTTTCCCGCAGTGCTCACTGTGTATACGTTATGTAACAGCAGCCTGTTTCGAGCAGGATGACAAATTTCGAATTAAACTATTTCTGGGAAACGTGATACACAGCAAGTCATGCTGTCCCTTATAATAACTCACTTACACCACCCCCATCCACACCACGCTCCCTTTAACTGCATGTCAGTGGTTGGCCTGAATGAGCAGGTCCCGCATGAGTAGAGGAGACCCCCCCCTCTTCAGGTTAGGGTTACGGTTAGGTACCCCTGAACACCCCCCTTTCGTAAAGACCTGTGATAATCCTCTCCACCCCCCCCCCACCGACGTTAAACCATAAATGAACCCGTGTTGATTAAACAGAAAGCTTGTGGACGATGCTGCACGCTCTCTCTGCACGATCAGTGACGATGCTGCACGCTCTCTTTGCACGATCAGTGACGATGCTGCACGCTCTCTTTGCACGATCAGTGACGATGCTGCACGCTCTCTTTGCACGATCAGTGATGATGCTGCTACACTGTAATAATCAGGCGACTCGTTCTTCATGTCGGCCTCCACCCAGTTTATAATCATATTCCTGCAGCGCCACCTCCCACCCGCGCCGGGGGCCTCACCGCTCGGCATCTCCCAGCACACGCCTGACCTTGGGAAAGCTGCATCTCCAGGACGGAAATGAGATGTCAGTCAGCGTTATATAAAAGGGAACTGGGGGCGTTGGTGGGTGTGGAGCGGCTATGGGCCTCTGCTCGAGACTGGCGCCCCCTAGCTTCAGGTGCTCACACGGTTTATCCGAACCGCAAATGGAGGCGTTGTGAATCTGCAGTATAGATATATTTTTATGTGCCACAAGAATATGACGAACTTACCCATAATTCTCTGTGATTTTATGATAGGCTGCCGACTCAGTCAAGTGAAGAATCGCGGTATAGACTGACAAGGAATCTCAGAAATGGGACTGGACTATCAGGAGACAGGAATGTGAAGCAGACCTCTCCCCGCCATCCTCTCCTAAATTTGATCGCAGAAGCTGTCAGAAAGCGTCTCTCTTACACCGAACGTGCTCACAGCCTGGATATATACTATAATTAAACCACCACGTACCGCAACCCACTTTACTGTATACATGATAAAACGGCAACGCACCGTAGATATTTATTACCGCTAATAAAACAAATACGCCTTCCCAAAGTCTGTGAAATACATATGGCAGACATTGTGAGGCCATCTCCACAGAATGGCCGAAGATGGACAGAAGGCGCGCGCTGTCACTTTAAAACTCTGGCTCTCTCCTTCAGCTGAAAACCCTCACGTGATCTTCTCTGAAAGTGCTGGTGGGGTCGGGGTTCTAAAGCTCACCGGTCTGATTGTGTGTGTGTGTGTGTCTGTGTGTGTGTGTGTCTATATATATATATATATATATATATATATATCCCTGCAGCTTCACCAAAATGGTCCTGCCCAATTATTCTATGGTTAGGAGCTCAGCATAGTCTCACCTGAACTAATTGGGGGGCGGGGGAGGGGGGCGTCAGCCAATCAAAACACAGGGAAGCAATCAGACGCCAAACCCAAGCCCCTAAACACCAACAGACATGATGGAGAGCCTTCTCAGAATCTGGGCGAGGGTGATCTGAGGATAAGCAGGTGGGGGCAGGCAAGAGCCCTGGGGTATGGGAGACGGCGGGATCGCAGGTGGGGGCCCGGCCGGGGCAACACAGAGGCGCGCGGGAGCCGCCCAAACGGTAGTAATCATACACCGAGCCGGCATATCCCTAGGCAGACCGTATGTAATTCCAGTAGTGAACTCTAAGCCGTGCGTATCGTTATCCGGGTATAGCCAAGGATACGGCAGCGAACAGACAGTATCTGCAGTGTTTATTTACACGATGAGACTGCAGAGCCAAGACAAGGTGAGGAGAGTCGTGATGTGGGCCCCTTTGATTCCTTCCCAGGAGCTGGAAAAATCGCAGAAATGTTTGAACTGATCTGCCGCGGCATGTCAGATTCCTGAAGAGGGATGATCCGGATCTCTACGGAAAGGAACCGGCCCACTCGCCTGAGACGTCGGCTCCAGCATAGGTTCTCCCAGTCGTGAGTAACGCCACCAGGGAACCATCTCCCCTAACAAGGCGGCCCTAAATATTCAATGTATTTCAAGAGAAATCACAGATACAAAGAACTCGCCAACACATGCACCATTGGCTTCAGCAGCGGTAGTGTTTGTCCCTGACGTTTGGGGTCCCCTGTTGGCCACAAACAGTCATTACACTAAAGGGGATTGGAGGGGGGAGTAAAGTGACTTTTTGAGGGGGTACCTCAAAAACTAATCCAGCTCACGTCAAGCTCTATAACCACCAAGGTATCTGCATCCAGACATCGGAAACAGGCGTCAAGCCTATCTGGAAGTCAGTCACTTGGAGACAAACGAGGACCGTTCCAGGCTGCAAACATCACGCCGACGCCCATCTGCTTCGACGCGGCTTCAGATGTTTCAGCCGATACAGGATTCAGGTCTGGCTGCCCAGCCTGGGACATCGAGGCTATGTGACGGAGACTGCAGATGGTCAGGCCGGCCGACAGCGCTGCCCTCTGCTGGCGTCTCAACGGAGGTAATCGGGAAGTCGAGGCTGAGAATAGCATTACCGAAAACACAGGCAAAGGTACCGACCCAACATCCCACCCGAGACCCCCAAGCCTTACACGATGTGTGCCAGGTCCAGCGGCCGCTCCGGCTGCTCGGGAAACAGCGGGTGGGGCGGCTCTCGGCTCGGGACGCAGCCCAGTGACTTGCTGATGGCGTGGCTGAGCTTCTTGGCGGGAGATTTCTGCGTGAGAGAAACAGGGCACAGGGTCATGCGTGGCTTCACGTGTCCGCTACAGCGCCACCCAGTGGCAGACCAACCCAAGGCCCGGAAAAAACAAGAGGGCCAGCGATCATTCATGCGCCTGCCTGCTGAGCTCCGAATGCTGCAGAAACACCAAGACGGCCTTCAGATCATAAGGCCGGATGCACGTGACACAGGACCGAACACTAAATAATAACCATTGATAAAGATGTCAAAAATACACGAAGAGACTTTTTGTCAACAGGCCAGTGCTGTTCTGCTAGGAGGAAACAGGGACAGAGGGGCAGAGAGGAAGGTCTTCCGTCCTAAAAGCAAACAGCACAGATGGCCGGTGGATTATTTAAGTAGTGGGACTGTTATGCGCTGTCCTTGTCCTTGAGGTCTAACCCTCAGCGCGAAGCAGACTATTCCCCAGACGTCCCACAAACACGACCACTGAAATCGGAAACATTCAAGGTCCAGGGGAGGAAGAGGAGAGGAGGAGGAGGAGAAGGAGGCGGCTAAGAGAGTAATGTGCGCAGGGGCAAAGGCTAAGTTCGACTTCCGACTGCCGCACACGCAGCCCGGAAAGCCAGCCAGCAGGCAGGCCAAGCAGGGAGACTCAAAATAGACCAAAAGACAGCAAACACGATAAAAATGAGAGCAGCACAAACCCAACAGCGGAATGAGTAAAGACGCAATGCTGCCATCTATTGGGAAATACGATTATTTACAGGTGGAGCTCACAGCGCCACAGCCAGGGCATTAAAAATGGCTGCATCTATGGGGATGCTCTTACATCACAAGCTCTTAGGGGACGTTCTACTCAGATGTCAGTCAATGAATGATTTCCGACTAATCAACAGCATCAGGCAGGCAAAAATGATACACGTGTGCATTGATGATGTCCTGTTTGACGCTGCATCCTCTATGAAATCTATCTGCACTACCACCAGGTGGCGCCCTGTGTAAGAGAGGATAGCACCCACCCATGATGAATGCTCCTTCATCTGGTGTTGGTTGCTGTGGGACCCGCTGGCATGGCCCCTCCAGAAACAATTCTGGCACAACTGGTAGTTGTGGCACTGCTGACACCGGTACCGGAAGCCCATCATACTCTCGCTACGGCAGTAGGAGCACTCCACCGGATGGAAAACTGGGCCGCAAGGAGAACCGAGGGTTAGAGAGGCATCGGGGCACAAGCCATGCAACACTGGAGGCGACCACAAGGGGGCACTGTCCAAAGACCTAACAGGGGACTCACCATTTTCCACATTGGCAAGTCGGTGCATGAGGGGAAGCCAGACGAGGCACTGTGGGGGAGGATCTGCCATCATCGCATCCAAAAACATGTTCAGCATGATCTTCTTCTAGAAGAGAGACAAGTTTAGAATCCAAAAACTTCTATTCACCAACCACAAAAAGAACAAGGAATGTGTTATCGTGCAGGTGATGGTATGGAGTATACAATTATACATATCAGAAAAAGTACAAAAAAACTAAAAAGAATAAAAACAGAGACAGAGTTTCTTCCAATATATTTGTTTTCTGATCCATAGTTAGAGTTACACAAGCAGAGTCACTTAGAACGACCATAATGCAGAAAGGCATCGGGACCCAAATAAGGGAGGCTGGGTGTGGAGGGGGGGGGTCCAAATGTGCCCCGGGGTCTCCCTAACTCCCCGAGAGGGGGAGGCCTGACCTGCTGGGGGAAGCAGGTCCGGACGGAGTGCTCCGTGTAGCCGAAAGACGGCCCCTCGAACACGGCGGTAGGCAGCTTCAGCACCTCCCGCAGGAACTGGTCAAACTTGGTGAAGATCATCATGCCGCTGGAGTCGGAGATCTGGGAGAAGATGTCTGCAGACAGATGGTGCGACCGGCACACGTGCACGTTTACAAATACAGCACCAAAGCACATATATAATACATGATACCTACTGTATGCAACATGAGTTAATATTCATTGTTATGGTACATTGTATCACATAAACAACGATCATGTGTGAGCTCAAAGAGCTGCTGCATTGTTTTTTATACATGTATATGATCCTCCGAAAGGGCGACACAGAAGTGATGTCTTGGCTACTAGGCCTTCAACGGCAGGGTCGGCCCAACCCATTTCAGGGCCCTAAGCAAAATTTGATTAAAGCAATTATGTCATCTTCCTTCTTTTTCTAACAGGCTCATCAGATGGCGCCCCCTGGTGGAGGCTGGGTTCTAAGCGCCTACTTAGTTGTCTCATGCCTTGGGCCGGCCCTGTTCATCATTGTGTCCTGATTGTTTTTCTGATTGTGTCGCTGTTGCCACACCTTTGGAAACCAGATTGTGGGTATAAGGGGTCTGCATATTCTCCCCATGTCGTCGTGGCGTTTCCTCTGGGTTCCCCTCTGACCCCCCCAGTCCAAAAACGTGCCGAGGTTAATTTCTTGTACTGTAAGTGTGAATGGCGTGTGTGCCCTGCGATGGCTTGGCACACTGTCCTGGGTTACTCCCTGCCTCGTCCCCATACCATCTGGCATGTTATTCTTGTGTTGTATATAATCAGCTAGTCGTGCACAGTATCCCTTTTCTATTCCATCTTATGCAATGCTAGCATTTTTTAGGTCCTTGATAAGCATTATACAAATAAAATGTGTTGTTATTAATAATAAATTACTTAGTAATACACTGATGGTCTACCACAGTAGCCGTGAACAACTGCTTCTTACTTTAAACACAGTATAAGACAGGACAACATTAGTAATCACATGGCCAGAGGAAGTATTCCTGTAAGTGAGGTCTTTACTCTGCCCTGTTTCTAATTAAAGTCTCACATGTGCTGAATTTACACTTGTACTTTTAGCTGGTTGTACCTCCAGTAAGCACATATGCAGAGAGGTCATCAGAACTTGTGCGCCACAAAGCAACCCGTATTGAGTTAATGTGGGCTGCTCAACAGCGCCTACCAGTGGACATCTGGTGCAATGACAAAATTCTGACAAATAAATGCTGTTTGCTACTGTAAATCTTTTTAAATATATATATTTTTACACTGATCTTGTTATGATAAATAAGGCTAAGCTAATTTCTGATATGGTCCCAAAAAAAACCTGCTCACACATTTGTTTTAAAAAAATATAACCATCCATTTTCCCATGTAACCACAGCATGTTCCAACCAGTTATCCAGTATGGGGGTGGCGGGGGGAGTGGGGGGGGGGGGGCTTCAGGATATGGCCCCCAGTCCATCAAAGTATCCCCATTTTTATAAGATACTTACATAATCCCATGTTCAAAGAGTACTTATTAATGCAATATAATTACAGGCATCAGACACTAGAGGGAGCCATTGTTTAAAAATATGACAGGGCTCCAAAACAGACATGCTAACAGATACTTACACCGGAGTTTGTCCACAATCTTCCCACCACACATGGTCGCCAGCATGGCCTTCACAGAGAACACGGTCAGCTTGCCATGGCCTTCACTGAAAAACATGCAAGCGGGATCGAGTCACTTATCCTCAGTCATGTCCGTTAGACAACAACAAAAAAAAAAAAACAATTTAATTCCAAAGATCAGCTTAACAGCCAAAAGAATCTAGACGTGTGACACGATTCAAAGGTTGTTAAAAATCAAAGACGTGCGATTCTGGGCCTAACTGCATCCTCAGCATAAGGCTCCCTAACAAAGGCTCCCCGGTATCAGCCCTGGTATAACCATCGGGGGCCTCATCAGGGCGGTGTCTGGGCAAATGGCTCGTCTATAATTCCCAACAATGACGCACAATCCTTCAGAGTGTCTAGGGGTGCATCTGTGAGCTTGCTGTTGGTTAGCATGGTGAGACTGCACATCACTGTACCACAGCATGGTGAGACTGCACATCACTGTACCATAGCATGGTGAGACTGCACATCACTGTACCACAGCATGGTAAGACTGCACATCACTGTACCACAGCATGGTAAGACTGCACATCACTGTACCACAGCATGTTTTTGGAACAAGGTCTTGGGCTATTGAGGCTGGGGGGCGGAGACTACTGGGGCCTCACAGTCCTCACTGACTACCTCCACGAGGGTCATACCTGCCATCTTAGATGCCTGATGTTTGGGAAAAGTACTTAAGGACATTTTATGATTTGAGGTAGAAGAGCCCATTTATTGCAAAATGCACGCTGGTCACAGAAAACCCAGCGCCATTCTGATGGTAAACGGAAAGCGACACATGCGCAGCAAGATTACTGTGGCAGTGGTGGCTTAATGGTTAGGGAAGCGCACTCATAATCGGAAGATTGCAGGTTCAAATCCCCGACCAGCAAGACACCACTGAGGTACCCTGAGCAAGGTACCGCCCCCAAGCACTGCTCCCCGGGCGCTGAATTAGCTGCCCCCTGCTATGTCACGAAAGTCACATATGGGTTAAATGCAGAGGACACATTTCATTGTTGTGCACTGTGTGCTGTGGTGTGTCAACAATGACAAATAATCACAAATAAAATAAATAAATAAGGTGGGTGTGGTTCAAACCTCCATCGCCCTGTATGATGCAGCACAGCTGTGCTCCTGAAGTTTCAGAGGATCCTTAGGAGATACGTCGGTGGTACTAGCATAACCAGAACCTAAATGGCACAGAACTCTGCCTCAAGTGTGTCATTTTACCTGCTAGGTTTCCCACCAATTACAAAACCAGGCAAAAAAAACACGCGAAATGTTTATATATAAAGATAATTCGTGAAGGACACTTCATCGTCTCCTCATGGTGTCGATGAGTTGCTTGGGATCACCACAATCTTCAAGATCCTATAAATGAAATCCCAGTAACAAAAACTGGGCCTTCATATACAAGCAGACCTCAACACCTCAAAGAGAATATCGAGCAAGGCCCTGCCCCCCAGCACTGCCCCCACACGCAGCACCGCTCAAAACGCCAGTCAGGCAACGTCGCTCTACGTTTAGCTTGCATCTTCCTAGAAGAGGAGGGTTGGTTCTTTAAATACGGCCCCTGCCAGTCCTTCAGCTCCCGTGTCTTCATCAATATTCACACTTCGGTTAAAACTTCATAAAAAAAGCGTTTAGCATTTGTAACCCTGTTACACCTCCTGTGATTGATGTTTGAGATTTATTATCAGATGGGGGGGCATGTGGCTGTAGGGTATAAATTATAAGTACTTCAAAAAAACAAGGGAGAACACAGTGTCGCAACCTTTACCACCAATTAACTCATAAAACCACCCGCTCCTGTGAAGGAGAAATCAAACAGAGCGTGGCGTCGAGCTCTCGCCAGAGATGAGACGGTAACATCACACGTTCAGATGGTTACCATATCAAACGGGACTCCTCGAATAGAGGAGTAGAGGCCGGGAGATTTGTTCAGACAGAATCCTGGCCGCAACAGAGCAAGGACCGAGGTTAAACAGATCAGATTCGATCAGGATAGACAGAGACACAGACAGATAATCCTGAAGGAAACTGCAGGTTTACAGTAGCACAAACCATAAATTTAGACAGCAAAATTTCATTTTGTGTGTGTGAAATGCCAATAAAGTGATATGACTTGACATTTACACATTAACAAACAGTAACAATAAATAAAAGACAAACAAGATGTTGGAGAAAGTATTGCACGGAATTCTCTAGCAAATAAGTAGTATTGCATGGTGGGTTGTACAGTGAACGAATGAATGAATGTTCTGTGAACGTTCATATGTGGTTCTGGTCCCTGGGGTCTCAGCAGGCCTTCTCACCTGTCATAGGCAGCCACCATGAAGTTCAGCAGCAGGCTGATGGACTGCTCCACGCTGATCTGGTGTGTGGTCGGCAGACGCTTGTTGAGCTGGTAGTAGATGGAGGAGATGATGGTCTCCAGCCTGGACACGTTGATCTCAGTGTTGTGATCCAGTGTGTTCAGGCCATTGTCTCGGAAGGCTTCGATCATGTTCCAGACGTCGACGAGGTGGACTACAGAGAGGCGAGGAGGAATGTCCATCACGCATGAGCATAAAACCGTTCATGTGAGAGAGCTGGAAGCGAACAAGATCAACAAGATACAGCCACAAAACACAAATCAGGAAACGGTGTTAATTCTGAACCACGGCTGCTTGCAGGCATAGAATGACATTCATCCGGCCTGAACTCACATTCAGCTTGGGCTCATCTCGCAGTCATCTTGCGGTCGAACGCCCTGGAGATCAGAGTGCTAAGCCGTGTGGTCTACACAATGAGTGAGCAGGAACCGCCAGTACTCAAACCTGATCTAAGGCCAGACTCTATGGTTAACCTTGCTTCCACGTGTTGGTCAGATGTGCTATAAAACTGTGCTATGAAAACACTCCAACATGGAATCTCCGTATTCCTTTTCCGCTCAAAATATACATAATCAACCGACCCTCAAAGCCAGAGGTGGAGAGTTTAGGTCCCGAAAGCAAAAATCCAGTCCAAGAGTTTGTTTCAACCAACCAGTTGTGTATAAAGAGTCACAGTCAGAGAGTACTCAACTGGTTGGTGGAAACAAAATCTTGGTCTGGATTTTAACTTTATGGACCTGAACTCTCCACCTCAGCTCATAGCACTCCTTCGCAAGCTGGCCTGCCCTTACTGAGAGGAAGTGCCATGGAGTGCATTAAGGACTCACTTCTGCAGAACGGGGCTCCTGCCTCACTGCCTGCTGAGCAGCTCGCAGTCGTCAGGAAGAACTCATTTCCTACTGCCCATTTGCACACCATGGATATTAATGATTATTGTTCATTGTGTATTGGTAAATGTCTAATGTATTGTCTCTTCATACTTTTGTCCCCTATTTCATAGTCTTGCAGTTAGAGCGACCGTGCATTTCACTGCAAACTGGACCGAGTGTAACTGTGTATGTGTCAAATAAAACTTTGGCTTGACTTGAATAAACCAGCATCAGGTACCAATAAATTAACAGCTGTTTAGGTTCCTTATCTGGTTTTTAATAACCATACATGGCATCTGATTTAATGATTCTAACTAGTAACGCTGTCACTAAGATCGCTATATCACGTTCACAATTCCAGTAATAATAGGACCCCAGAGAAACCCCAAAGAAAAACAATGTCTGAAGATTTGAAAAGCCAGTACTTACGGTTACACCTTTTCTGCACGAATCTCAGCTTGCATGCGGTCCGGTACGTAGACAGTCTGATGACGTCAAAGTTCTGCGCCCCTGAGGTGTGAGGCAAAATGATTAAGGCACCTGAGCAGATACATCAACGGGAAGTCAGGCAGCACGCAGGCAGGAAGGTGCCAGAGGGGGGGGGGGGGGGGGGGGGGACTCACGCATCTCCATGAAGAGCTGTCTCTTCTCTGCCATCGTCTTTCCCCGCTTCACTCCTTCCTCAATCATTCTGAAAAAGACAGATCAAGATCACACACTGTACATCTCGAGAGTACAGTACACACACACACACACACAGTCCATGTATTCCCACCTTTATGGGTACCTTTCATTCATTCCTATGGGCATAACCTTAATCCTAAGTATGACAACCTTAAACTCTACTCAGCCCTATCCTTAACCATAATTAACCAAACTAAGTAAAAACTTTTGGCATGCTTACACACCCACACACTCACACTTCACAGGACAGCACTAAAAAGGTGGAGCTTATAGGCACATCAAGGGGTGGGGGTCAGCTCAGCTGGTGACCGACCTGGAGTCACCCTGTAGTAGAGCACCCCCTTCTGGTCAGACACTAAAATGAGCAGCAAGGACAAGCTGAGTGTGTGTTAAGTCCTGACACTGTTCATAATGCTGAAGGGAGGACAACGGGGGGGGGACACCGGAGAGAGGACAGCAGGGGGAGGACAACAGGGGGGGGATGCCGGACAGAGGACAGCAGGGGGAGGACGCCAGAAGCCATCATAAGGCCATAAGAAGAAGCAGAAGACCTTGATGTGACGCACGTCCCAGGACTGTCTGCACTGGGTACCGTCTTTGTACTTTGCCATGTTTCGCTCTGTAGGTTTGTCGGTGCACTTATGTACCTTGCTGCTGTACGCACCAGAATTTCCCCCTGAGATCAATAACGTTGGTCTTATCTGTAAACATTTCATGTCTACACTACATACAGCGGAACCATTCACAACTTATCACTACTGTAATCAGTCACGCTAGGGTGCCTTCAAAAATGGAACTTTACTCCACTACAGTCTCAGAAGAAAATGGTTCTGGTAGAGCCTTGTAGAACCTTACACCTGGGGCTACCAAAAGTTTGATGACTGTGGACTAGCACACCTCGTGCAAATTTCATGGACCAGTTGAAATTTGCGGGCCAGATAAGTTCAGCCGTTTCCTTATTTTTATATTTCCATCAGAACATGCCATTAAAAAAAGCATGGTTTGAAAACTGCAGTTTATTTCTGAATATTAAGCAACCCCTCCCCTAAACCCCAGTTTTTATGCCCTGATGGAATACTGGAAACCCTTGTTCCACACAACATAGCTGCATGCTGGGAGAGCAGTTTAATATGTGGAAATCCCTACTGAGACGGCAAATGGCCCACTTTTGCTCAGGTAAACATCTGCAGGTGGTGTATCTAAGTCCAGGGTTCAGACTCTTTACCCTGCGTTCAGGGCAGCACAGATGGCGATTATACCACATTCATAATCTGCTGAAAATTCACAAAATACCCAGCTACATATCCCAGAAGGCTATGCAGCTGTGAGGTCCAGAGGTTCCAACCTGAGTGTCCTGCAGCTCCTATCGTGCAGAAACGGATCTGCGGCTCTCTCAGTCCAGCTGTTGGGTCCCAAGTGTGACAGAACCGGGGTTCAAGCTTATCACAGCAGCCGATTCAGATGAGTTCAAACAGCAACGTTTATGTTTACATCGCGGCAGCGGTCTGCTGGCCTGCTACGGTGCTGATACCCAAAGCCAGCTCCGGTCGCTGCGGGAGGGCACCTGGACCGCAGAGTGGCCTTACATGCCCCCCCCCCCTCTCTCTCTCTCTCTCTCTCTCTCCCTCTCTCAGTGTTGGACCCTTCCATGGGCGAATTGCTGATCCTTAAAGAGCACAGACAGCTCACAGCTCACTACAAAATGATGGAGCAGCCAACATCTCCAACCAGAATAGCATGGATCTATAATTACAAAGACGCGGACTACTCCATCACAGCTCAGGTGTCCTGTAGCTCCCTCCATCATTGTAATATCTGCCACAAAGAAATTCTGGGCCGCACGCAACCTGAAAGGGTTCCTAAAATGCGATGTGTTCAAACAGAGGACCAGTAGGGGGCAGTATAGAGAATGAGTGGTCAGGGTTAGGCTAAAGTATGGCTTTCGGGAAGGAGGTCAAGACAATCAATTTATGGCTGATAATTGGTGCCACCTCTGTCTGCTAGCCGAGGCAGATGGCAGCCCCTCCCCCACACACCTCGCATAATAATAATAATATTCTGAAGCATTCTCAAGAAACATCCATGCTAGTCCCTTCTCTCGACCTTAAACACTGGAAGCTCGAATTTCTGCTTCTAAAGGCCCTTGATACCGTCCAGAGGTTCTCAGCCGTCACCACCTTAAAATTATACCTAAAAAATAGCTGCTCTAGCCAGACAAACATCCACCTGCTAGACAACATCACAGGATGAAAGGCAGTGAGTCGGGCCTGGTCGAGCTGCCATTAATCACAGCATGGAGCGCGTTCCTGTCCCATCGACACGGATTGCAGATAAACAGCGAGCTTGATGGATCACAGAGCTGTCCGGAAATAGCTCATTGAAACACGAAGAGCGGTAACTCGAAATCGACCAGGTGTCAAGCGAGCCCAGTTCAGGAGCATTCTGACAGCCAATCAGAGGCAGCAGAGCCAATCAGAGGCAGCGGAGCCAATCAAAGGCAGCAGAGCCAATCAGAGGCACCGGAGGGGCCAGGAAGTGGGAAAGGACAGACAGAGGTGAGCAAATGAGCGACCTGGATTGGACTGATGAGACAGCCATTCCAAATGGACCAAAAAAAAAAATCCTTAAATAAGTATTACAGTTCATTTGAGAGCAGAGTAACAGAATCGGCGGAGGATTCGGAGCCACACAGGAATAGGGAGAGGTAAGTAGATGGGGTTTGCCCCACGCCAATGATACAACACAAGAGCCCTCAACAGGCAGAGATGGGGGATTCCTGTGGATACCTTAGGGTGAAGGCATGAGGACCAGAGGATTGTCCTGAAGTACACAGGCCCCACTGAGGTGGACAGCGGCTTCTGAAGTCAGACAAAAAAGCAGCAATCTAATTTATATATCAGCCACTACGCTTCATCACAATGTCTGTGTAAATCGGGACCAGTGATTCCCAATCCGGTCCTCAGGGACCCCAAGGCGCTCCATGTGCCAGGAGCTGGGAGGGAGCAGAAACACAAACTGCCTGGTTTCAGAGGACTTAAGGGGAAACTTGTGTTTCCCTGAGAACAGATGTGGCTCATCAGGGGTCTCCACCGTAGTTGGATCTATACAGATCTCAGCCTAGATGGAGTTCACCAGGAGGCAGGGTCTGATGACCAGGTGATTACACCTTCCAGGTCGCGCCACAGGACAGGCGAGCACGCAACAGGACAAATGCTCATTCACTCAGCTCAAAAAAAATAAATAAATAACCAGAACGCTGCAGGCCAGCTGCAATGCAATGCCCTGTAAACAAACTTAAAAGGACTGGATAAAGAGAGAGAGAAGCCCTCACTGAAAGCAAGTGCAAACACCAGAAATCACCTGACTGACTGTAAAGCTCCGGAAATTAATCCTGGGTATGGGATTTACTTTAGCCACACAAAAACCAGGGATGTTATCGAAAACATTATGCCTGGCAGACGGAAAGGGAGTCTGTCATGATCGAATGGAATGTGAAGAATGTTATTCTTTACGGAGGAAATTATTTCAGGTCCCCCTGGCATCACGCTTCCTAGAACGTCATCATTTCTATAACAGTGAAGATCATTACTTCTCCAACAGAAACCAGCTGGACGGAGCATCAATCAGCCTCTGACCACATGGCCTAATGATGCCAAGAGGGATTACTGACCAAAAAACCTAACATTTTGGTGTCTGAGTCCCACTGAAAGCTTAAACTGCCTTCTTAATATGGCTCATAACTAATTCAGCTCACAATATTTCAAACCTCAGCAGTCGGCATTTCCAGGGTAATGTTCCCCTTCAGACATGTTCAGGGCAGACAAATGTGAGACCACTATGCTCAGTCCAACGTCTAACCCATGTCTGAGCCGCCCACCTTCATCTGCTCCACCGAGTACGAGTACGAGTCGACCGCCTTCATCTGCTCCACAGAGTACGAGCCATCCACCTTCATCTGCTCCACCGAGTACGAGTACGAGTCGACCGCCTTCATCTGCTCCACAGAGTACGAGTCGACCGCCTTCATCTACTTCACCTTGTACGAGTACGAATCGACCACCTTCATCTACTCCACCAAGTACGAGTACGAATCGACCGCCTTCATCTACTCCACCGAGTACGAGTATGAATCGACCGCCTTCATCTACTCCACCGAGTACGAGTTGACCGCCTTCATCTACTCCACCGAGTACGAGTACGAATCGACCACCTTCATCTACTCCACATCTACTGCTAATTCCTACAGATGAAATTCAAAACACATTCAAAATCCATCACGTGGTCTCAGTCTGCCAGATGTGAAAATCCCCGTCACAAGAGGTCAGACACTCTCCAAAGAAACGCCTCAGTAACAGAGTTGGGTGGCACCTAAACCCCCACCTCACAGCAGAGATGTTTCTGTTACTCCTCATCAGACAACTAGCGTTACCCCTGGCGCATGGGCAGTCAAGCGAAGCCCACATGTTGAAACCATTTAGAGGATACTTCAAATTTTTTTCATGATTTTTTTTTTTTTTTTTTTTTTTTAAGCGTTTTCAAAAACAGGGCAAAAGCACTCAACTAAATCAACACATTTAGTGAAGGTCCTTTAGCTCGTACTAGCATGAATTTAAATTCAGAACACATCTGCAGGCACAGCTGCCGGGGTGTGAAATGCCCTTTCCTGCAAATACGATGCCTGTGTCCCCCAGACACCACATACAATAAGGGAAATCACTGACCACAATATTAAACTTCTTGGACAAAACACGCAAGTACAAAGACATACATTCAGTACACTATTCAAATAGTAGTTATAACAGTCGTTCCAGCTACACATTTCTGCACACAATATTGCAATTATTAACGTTCAAAAGAGCAGGACTGAACAACATTCAGTTGAATGATCATGTCATTCAGTTCCTGCCCGAGATCCTTGTGTGTCCCTGACAGCCTGCCTGTATGAGTGTTAATTAGTGCTACCAGTCGTTAATGACGCTTCACTTCCATGCCGACCATCAGCACCAGTCTGCTACTCAGAGGGTTAGGCTGAGCCCAAAACCAAATGGTCGCTGGTTCAAACCCCAAAGCCAATAGAGTGATTTCACTATTGGGTCCTTGCAGTAGGGACCATCTGGCCCTGCTTTCTCAAAATGCACGTCGCTTTGGATAAAAGCACCTGCTGAATGTGGAAAAGTAATGTGAATAAGCTGCTTATGCTGGGACAGACACGGAGGCCCCCCAGTTACCGCGCGGCAGGATGCAGTCGGCTTCTCCAGTCTGTCTCAGCGGGCATTTCAGGCTGCTTTCTGAGAGCCCGCGGCACACTCACTCTCGGGGTGATTCCGTCTTCTGAGGATGCCCCTTCCTCTTTCCGATATCTCCATCTGATCCGCTCAAGTAAGAATCTCATTGTGCCCTGTACGCTGTACTTTGTACATATGACAATAAACTTCAAACTTCTACAACTTCATCATTCACCCATAACGTCGACCTCAAAGCTCTGGCAATTTACAGTGACAATGCTGTGATTGCAGCGGTGTACAGTGTGCTGAGTCATTAACAGGCGGAACAGACAGGAGTGACCCTCCACAAAACCCATGAATGACAGAAGCCGGCAAGTGAATTTCCCTCTAAGGAATTAATAAAGTACTGTCACTCCCTCATTAACTCACACTCACTCCCTCACTCACTCTTTCACTCTCACTCACTCTCTCTCGATAACGTCACTGCATGGTCAAGGCTAGCAGTGAGTAGGGCTGAGAACCGAATTTCAGTACTGTTTGGCACGGACTGAATTGATTAGATACTATCGAGTAAAAATGCCTGGTCATTTAGTACCAAATTTCAATACTTAAGGAGTAAATGTCAATGACACGCACGAACATTGGAAATGTGCAGATATTAAAGCGCACATTTTGCCCAAAAACCTTATCGAATTTGCTCAGTACAATACGTGTTTACTCAAGAACAGCAAGTCAATCACTCGTATGCATTTTGCAGGTTGTTTATGACCAGTTAACCCTTAAGGGGCTCATGGGCTGCTCAACCTTTCAGGTGAAACCAAACCATATTCTGGACTATATGCAGTGGTTCTACTTCTTAAAGGAACAGTATCTCAATAAGTTTAACCTTATTATTTTTCAAAAAAATTCTTTAGTACCAATGAGGTTGAACCCAGATGACATAAGACTATATTTCAATACAGATTAATAATCAATGTCTGTTTCTGCAAACCTACAAGCGAAACAGATCTTTGTTTTTAAAGTATATACCTTTTGACCATATATATCAGGGGTGGCCAATCTTATCCGCAAAGGGCGGTTTTCGCTGCAACTCCTAAATTAGATTACTAATTAGAGGACTGACTGGCTGAAGAGTCCTCACACCTGGGTTTGAACAGATGACCTACAGGTTATCCCAAAAACCTGCATACAAACCGGCCCTTTGCCGATAAGATTGGCCACCCCTGATATATATGCAATTTCTTTCCCATGATTTATGCAATTTTGTGCTTAAATACATGTGCAGGTTCTGCGAGGTGGTTGGTAGAATGCTGACGGGGGAAAAAACCCATACTGGGGATTTTAAATAATTATGTATAAGCATAGCCAAACAAACATATAAAGAACATACAAATAAAGAAATAAATATAGACAGAGGCAAGCATGTTTCTGTAAAAATCTCTGTACGATTTTGGAATACAACATTAATTTCCATCCATCCATTTTCTGTAACAGCTTGTCCAACTCAGGGTCACAGGAGGGCTGGAGCCTGTCCTGGAGGCTATAGGTTTAAGGCAGGGAACAACCAGGGATGGGGGGCCAACCCATCACCGGGCTCAGTCACCCACCATGCACTCACACGCACACCTACGGGCAGTGTGGCAACTCCAATTAACCTCAGCATGTTTTCGGACTATGGTGGGAAACCTGAGTACCCAGAGGAAAGCCCACAACGATACTGGGAGAACAAACTCACTCCACACACTGAGCCATGGCGGACACTCAAACCCTCAGCCCAAAGGTGTGACAGTGTTAACTACTGCGCCACCCCAGAATAAAATATATAACATAATTACACTAGTCGTGTACTAGTTGGTCTGTGCTACTGGTTTTTTTTTTTTACCCAGCTACCCCAGTGCACTATTACATGTATTCACAATATGTAGAACCCTGAACTTAAGTTAAATATTTTTTATGTTACGGAAACTGCATTTAAAATGCCAAGGAGCTGAAAATAAAACGAAAGACTTGAACTGCAACGTGGGATGTCATTTTCTTTTTGTTAAAAATAAATTTTGTAAAACTGGTATCAAAAAAGTATTGTTCATGAACTGGTGTCAAAGTTAAGGTATCAACAGTACCAGTATCGAAAATTTATGGATGGCAGCCAGCCATAGCTGTGATTCAATATGGGCTGTTCTGGAGCTCGTGGTGAAGAGGCCCCACGATGCATGACAAACCCATGCATGTTTCTGAACTATAGTAACATATCTAAAGTAAGAATGGACAGGTTCAGCATCTATTTGGTCCATGGCGCCAAGCTCGGTAAACATGACCATGACATACGACTAAATGTATCAAGCAAGCAAGCCAACTCTGCTTGGAGATTCCTCCACGGCCTAAGGAGTGTCAAGCGTCACTCTAGACATTTCTTGTGTGTGGTTCCCTGATTGTTATGGGCTGCTAAACCCCATCCGGTCATCAGATTCCCTTGTCACCTTCAAGAAACACCTCAAGACCAATCCGTTCCAGGAATTCTTCCACGAGCATGATGTCTCTATGTTCTCCGAATGTTTGCAATGTTGTGCTTCTTGCCTTCGAATTGTCCTATAAGGTTCTTGCTCTTTTTGTAAGATGCTGTGCAGCTCTTGCTCCTAGACTACTTACATTTATACCTGGTTACTCATCAGAAGCACAGACCAACTGCACTAATGCCTAGCAGACTCCACGACAGCCAAATGTTTGTAATATGCTATTTGCCTGGCTTGTACGTCCCATTGGACAAAGGCGTCTGCGAAATAAATGTAACTGCAAAAACCTGGACCCGACAACTCAAACTAAATTCAGTCCTGGTTACAGCATCCAGCCGAAGTCTCCATGACTGCTACAGCAGGAGATATCACACTGACCCACAGGAAATCCACATTTGTTTTCATGCCCCAGTCCATCCTGGTGTTTGAATCGCTGAAATAAAAGGTGAGTAAACCAAACAGAATAAGCAGCACAGCAGCAATGAGGCAGAGCTCTTTGCACCCACAGCATTTCACCAGTGGCAGACAGCATGCAAAGAATATGCAAAAGAGCCTTGGGTAAAACATATCCGACGTTGAAGAACACGCTCCATACAGCACTGGCTGAAATACTGCCACGTTCATGACCATTTCATCACCGTCCGGCGCGTTGAATTCTTAACGGAGGAAAAATGACTTCATGACAGACAGACAAAACGAAGGGACAGATATGGATTACACGCACACAAAGCTAGCTATTTATTAAGACACATTATTTACGCTCTATTGTAATGCGGACAATAGGTGACTTACTGTATTTCAAAGGCTCAATTCAGAACGATCCATTTTCAGTACAACCCGTAATGTAAGATTATAATCATCGTTCTAAAAATGATTCTATACCTCGAATATGACGTGGAAGCCCCACACCTGCAACATTTAGCTAGGTACAGCCGCAAGCCAAAGCCATCGGCGTAACCAGTGACATAGAAAACACTACAAACCTACAACACTGCAAAGCAGTCAAGGTGCACTGTTTAAGGCGACCATCCTGATCGCTGGCCATCTGAACACATCTCCATGGAAAGCTGCGGCAGCGGGTGCCATAACGGTTAAGGACCCTCGTTGCAAAACGCCCATCACCGAAACATGCGTGACTCCCAATGTGACCAAATAAAGAGACACCCGTCCGATGAAGGTCGGGGTACACAGTAAGGCCAGACTACTGACCTGGCGGACGGGACCCAGTATGATCTTGACGGTTCTCCTCAGGGTTCGGACCAGCCTTCACAAGCACGTCAGAGGACAGCAAGGAGTTTTATTGACCCCAAGCTACATCAGGACGAGCAGGGCCACCACAAGGAACTGGCAGGCACCTGCGAACTGCTGAGGAAACAGGCACGCACAGCACATCAGCGGCTTATACATTACCTTACACTCTGGTCACCATGGCAACCCCACCCTCATTTCTGACATTATTGGTCACATGGTGGCTGACTTCCAATAAGAGACAGACAATAAAACCACACCCTCTGTTTCTTTTCTTTTTTTTCTTTTTTTTTTTTTTAAATATGCCAACAGTGCGTGGTGGTCATGTGACCAGGGACACTTGCGTAAATGCAGAAACAGCATTGACTCAAGCTCGTATCAGATATCCTGGAACATAGAGGTACATGACCTAGATCAAACGAGCCCCCAGCCGCCGTCTGCTCCCCGGCTGAGCGCACCTAGATGTGACTGCACGTCACATCCTCAGTTTTTAAGACTCGGATCTGAACCATAAACTCAGAGGAGTCCCGCTGAGGACAGCAGAGCCTTCAGCAGCACCTGCAGTTAAAGGCCAGCCACCCCCCCACACTGGCTGACTTCGACTGAAGGATATATAAAAGAAAGTTCCTGAACTGTGAGGGACTCAAGCCGGCTCCCTGACTACTCACATTTTGAGGTCTGACGTTACACAACACAACCTGGTCCCACAGAAGCCCCTCCAAGAGTCTAATCAACAAAGAAAAATAATGAGGAGCCTCACTTAATACTGCCCAGCATCTCATCAACGCAAACGGCAGTAGACGCCTTTCGATTCCCTTCATCTCACAGCACAACAAAACCACATGCACACACCCGAGCCTGTCACAGCCACCAGACAGACGTCTACATAGACCTGAAGAGCATGCTACTGCAAACACATCCGCTTCATGGCGTTTCAGTGGCGGGGGGGGGGACGTGTGTCAGCAGGCAGATGAGGTAGCAGAAGGGTGAACCCGGAGAACCAGAGCAGGACGGAGCACCGGGGTCGTCCGAGCCACGCCACAGACCGCCCACAAGCCCGGACATCGTTTATGCAAATCGAGTGTCATGTTCGTACACTCTGCATAATCTGCAGGAGATGGACCAGGAAGAAGCATACTAACAGTGTTCAAGTCACACCCGAAACTATCAACACAACAACCATGCCAGCCAGTCACTGTAACCAGACACGCAACATTTTATCTATATATTTTTATGCATTTTCGGCTGTGTTGCTAAAATTAACCAGCCACAAGTGGCATCTGATAAAACAGATTCAGTCATAGCATTACTGACCTCAAATCCATCATATTAAATTATTAATATAAGCCACTGAGTGATATAAGGATGGTACAAGTCATTAACGAATCATCAGACAACAGCTCTGTATTCTCAAGCAAAATGACTTTCAGGATGTTATTACTGATGTCTTTTGCTCGAAGCGACTGTAACCTCCTTCCATCCATAATGCATCAGCGGTCCCTGTTTGCACGGCTCCTCAAACTGCACGACTTTCAAGCGCTTTTGACACCTTTCTCCGAGTCCTTCCTACACGGTCATCTGCATTCATTCCACTGCAGACATTCACCGTGCCTCCAGCAACCTTTGGAGACGCTTATTTATAAGGCAAAGCAGGAGAACGAGACACGCTGATGTTACCGCTGTAAGGGAATATCAAACAGAAATCTTTACCTTTCAAGAGCTGCAGGACGATCGGGCGTAAACCTCAAAAGGGACGTCTGAAAAGAGGAAAAAAAAAACGACGTTAAGGGATCGTCCTTTCAGAACTGAGCAGGAATGAAACCAGAGCCAGCAACACAAAACTGTAGAAATGAAGAGAAATGCTACTGCAGTCAGGATTAGCCAGCGCGGCAGAGAGCACGGGGCTACACAGACCTAAAGGTCCCCCGTACGCTCTGGACCAGCACCTCCTACACACCTTCTTGTGTGTCTCTGGGCTTTGGAGATCCCATCACTGCCAGGTCCTGCCAGAACCACTGGCCTTAGATGGTTCAGTGAAAAGTTTGCTGAAGAACAAACCTTCTCGTCAGGACTGTGCAGAGACTTTTTGAGGGGCAGGTGCTCACAGGTTAAAATGAGGTACACAGTACCTTTAAAGTACCCCCACAGCCCAGGGTAATACTGACACTAATGACTAATATTTTGCCAGTCTGACCAGATAATATTTCAGCAATATGAATTTGTTGCAAAGAAATACCACAAGACGCACAGCTGCAGAAAGTCATACACACGCTACTACACGGCTCATATTTCACATAAATGTGGCTGAGAGCCGTCGCTGAGTTTAACTGCTCAGCAGGATTTCAACACCCCCTCAGAGGACTGCAACCTTAGCATGGTGCAAGGGTTTGCAAGCCGTAACGATCCACAGAGTTACGGCAACTGGAGCTTCTCGTACGGCTTCCCTTGGCAAACAGGTCTGTAGATGGAGAGGCCAAACCATGACCCAACAAAGACACCCAATGAAAGTTACCAAAAAGAAACAAACATACCCTGTTTGAAAGAGGGGTTTGAGGTCTGGGAGGTGGTGTTTGTCAGGGAGCAAGGCCAGCCACGTAACCCAATGAGCCGTCTGAAACAGCTATGGGGAGCCATCTTAAGGGCTCTCCACCCAGTAGGTGAAAGGTGGGGGTCAGATGCAGTGCCATTTGGGCAGCAGGCTTGAGTGGGATGAACCCAGACAGATCAGACCTTGTCATTGGACAGTGGGGAAGGAGCCCGAGCTTGTGCAGGAGACAGAAAGGTATCAGCTAGACATGGTCAACCTTATGTCCATGCACAGTGTGGGTTCAGGAACTAGACCTCTTGACTGTCTTCTGGTGGATAAGGAGGTTGGCACTATGCAACTGCTAATGACAGAGACAGGGAACTTTTGTTTGTCCATAAGCACTGAACAGCAGTTTTGAGTACCCAGCCTTCTTCAAGAAAGGGAGGGATGCGCTCGATAGGGTACCGCCTACGGATTCTGTGGTCGGGGGATGAGAATCAGAAGCTCCAAAATGATTGGATGGCTCCATTCAGATGGGGGGAGGGAGTCTGTCCTTAATGAAGGAGATTAAATACCTCGGCGTCTTGTTTCCAAGTGATAGTCTGAAGAAAAATGAGACTGACAGGATGATGAGTTTGGTGACTACAGTCATGGGAAGTGAGGAAGTCCGTGGTAAAGGCAGAGTTAAATCATGAGCCGAAAGTCAAAGTTGAGCAGTAATCTACATCACTACCCTCACCTATGGTTAGGAGCCTTGGATAATGACTGAAAGAACAAGGTCACAAGTATGAATAACTGAAAGGAGGTTTCTCTGCAGGGTTTCCGTGACAGGTCTGGAGATCTGGAAGGATCTAGGAATAGAGCCGCTGCTCCTTTGGATCGAGTGAAACCAGCTGACGTGGTACATAAGGACACTACCCAGAAGGCTCATGAGGAAGATGTTCCAGGAAAGTCCAGCTGTGGGGAGGCCCATGAGAAGACCCAGGACACACTGGAAGTACATCTCCCAGCTGCCCTGGGAATATCTCGGGATCCCCCAGAATAAGCCAGTCTGTAGCCATGGAGAAAAGACATCTGGTGTGACCAACTCGGCATGCTGCCACTACGATTCTCACCAGAAAAACGATGATGATGACTGCTTTGTATAAATGCGTGTCTTATTGCGTATCCTACAGCATCCAGATTTCGTGAGCGCCTGGGTATGTCTCTGTAAATACAAATGAGGGCTTGCGTGGAACAGTAATGGAATAGATCATTTACACTATAGAGCAAATGGAAGGAAGTTCTAAACTTATATAAGGGGTCATATCTGCAAGAATCGGCACACCTGACATGATTCCCACAAGTGAGCTGACGCCAGGGAGAGGTACACAGCAATGTCTCTCCCCTCCCCCCCTCGCCACTGATGACTGCCACTCAAAGAAAGGCTTTGCTGCCAATAATGCCCAGCAGGGGGCAGTACACCGAGCCATTAGATCCGCTCCCACTACCCTTTTTCATCGGTTTTCATCATAACACAGTGTCTCTTTGTTCCCTGTTTAAACCCTACAGAAGGTGGCTCTGGTGCGTGGCTCTGTGAGAAACCTCCCAGGCCATGCTGACGGTCGCCTTTGTGAGATAATTCCAGCCTGGAAAGACAACCTGGGTTTCAGAGAAAGAACACAAGGCTGTTTACACCCACACGGGCACTTCTGCAAGGCCAACTGTGATCGCGGGGAGTGGGCTCTGACCCAGCGCAGCGGCGGCCCGCACGGCCAGCTGGTAACTGCTATCAAAGCCACCAGCATAGTCTCTCGCATTTACTTCCTGCTGGAGAAACTCTAGCATCCAAACGGGGTGAGCAGGCAGAAGCAGGAAGAGGCATTCATCAAAAACAAAACATTTACTTAATAATTTTACACTCACAGATTAGCAAACCGCATTACCAGGATGCTAAATATGGAACGACTGACATTCTCCAGAAAAACATTTCACCCCCTCTGAGCCCTTATGAATGATGCCATTGTGGCTGAGAAGATGTGACAGGCTCACCGCTGATCTGAAGCTTCATGGGAACACGCTGAAGCAGTGTTTCCCAATACAGTCCCCTGGGACCCACAGACTGCCCACGTTGGAGGGAGCAAAAATGTGGACTGTCTGGCAGGGAGCTGGGAGGGAGCAAAAATGTGGACTGACTGGCAGGGAGCTGGGAGGGAGCAAAACTGAGGACTGTCTGCGGATCCCCGAGAACCAGACTGGGAAACATTGCACTAAAGAAGAGCTGATATTCAGAGCCATACACTCCCGAATATCTCCACATGACTCAACCTGCTAGGTTCCTGTTATCCAAGACATAAGCATCTTACCAAACATTCTCCAATCTTAGGGAGCAGGCCCTTATTTAACTATAAACATATGCAGAGATCACAAAACACAGTGCTGTGGTAATTTCACCCGCTGTGCGAGTTCAGACTTAGCCTGCTTGGACAAGGACCCCCCCCCAACATCTTAGTGACACCACCAGCTCTGGTGTGCCCAGGACACAAAGATGCACAGCTGGAATGATTCGTATTTTACTGTGTCATGGTGACCAGCCCACGCAGAATGTCTGTGCATATATGAGGTTTTCACAATGAGCATCTGAAAAGTAATAGCTTTAATTTTTATTATTTGATCATTTTATTAAAAACTTGAAGGAAAAGCTATCATTTTCTAGATACATTTCTTTTTTTTTTTTAACAAATGTTGAGTCAATCACATGAATACAAATTAAGTTCAACACATCTTACGACCGATAATTATGCTAGTCTTTTTTTTTTTTAAAAGAAATCTGGGAAATGCAATTTCATTTTATTATTTCTTTTACATTTCCAGGTAACAGAATTGGATTAATACTGTTCTGCAGTGTGGCTGACAATGTAACAATAAACAGTGCACTCACTGGTTCGTGCTGATGACAGTTTCACAGTATTTTACAAAACAAATCTGTCACACCATGACTAAGGATCAATATCTATGCCAGATGATCACCATAACTAAACTTATTAGAAGCCATTCAGGTGCTTTTTCACTCTCCGAACCATCCAGCAGTAAGTGGATCATAGTAAACCCTGGGCATTACCAGCACACGTTTAACACGCTTAAGAGAGCCAGATCAGACTTTATCCCAGGGACTAGGACCAGACAGGAGGTCGGAACAGCCCTGTAATACCACTGTTACCCAGAAAAGCGTCAGAGATTCACAGTACCCATATTACTGTGTAAAGTGGCAGCTTGGCTGCTGAGCTGAAGAACATGACCCATGTTTACCTCACTCCGCTCAGGTACCCCCGTCTGTGCCAGAGAGCCCTTTATGGGAGGAATAAAACAAAATTTAGGGCCAGAACTGTCAGCATAATGCCTGTAATGACAGGTATTAAAGAGACTTTGCGGGGAGAAATTACAGCCTGCGTTTACTTTGAACCTCTTAATGATGAGGGAGATCAGATCTCCACAAATATGACTGCTGCTAGATGCCAGAACCTGAGAAAATAAATTAAACCAATAGGAAGGTAGTTGGATACAGCTGCCCCACCGACCACCTGAGCACGGCAGAGCTCAACTGACTGAGCACGACCATATCGAAATTCACTAAGCATGGCAGAGTCCACCTGATTGAACATGGCCAAGCCTGAGTGACTGAGCACAACCAAGCCCGAGTCACTGAGCATGGCAGGGCCCAGCTGACTGAGCACAGCCAATTCTGAGTGCCTGAGCACGAAACAGCCAGACTGACTGAGCACAGCAAGGCCCAGCTGACAGAGCACGGCAGGGGACCAGACAGAGAGGCTCAGCTGAGAACCAGATGTTCACCGTCTGGCCGGTGTGGGGCGACTGACAGAGAGTGAGATGCTGATACAGGGGCGGACCAGATGTTTGTTTGGGAGGGGGGGGGGGGCATGGGAGGGATACTTCACTAAAGGAAACTACTGAACACCCACAAAGATCATCTGTGGTGATCAGGAAACCCAGGAAGAAGGAAGGAGAAGCACAGATCAGGTGGCAGGAATGTCCCACCTGCCACACCCACCAATGATCAATGAACAGCGAGCATAACACGGGCCGAGGTGAAGTAAATCACACGAAAATAAACAGTAAGATTTTATTAACCCGCTTCCTGCAACCTGCTGAAAGTCAGGCAGCCATGAAACACAAGACTGAGGAAGATTCCATGCTGCCAACACGAGAGCAGAATGAATGCTCAGCCAGGAT